TCTGCCTCGAACTCCCAGCTTCCGACGTCCACTGCTGCACCACCGGCCACAACTTCTGCGCCGACTGCCTCGCCCAGCACCGCGAGAGTGGCTACGCGGGGAGCGCCAAGTGCCCCTCCTGCCGCGTGGCGCTCGGCGACGGCACGCCTCTCCGCAACCGCGACGCGGAGAGGCGCATAGCCCTGCTGCCGGGCGCCAACGGCAGGGGCGGGCTCGCCTCGTGCTCTGCGCAGAAGCGCGCAAAGCCAGGCTGCGCGACGACGGGCTGCATGAGGGAGCAGCCGATGTGCTTGCGGTGGACGGCGCAGCCGTGGACGGAGCCCTGCCAGTCCTCCTCCGCGGCGCTCGCCGGGAACAGCTCCACCACCACATCGACACTCACAGACGCGAGGATCCGCTCTGCCGCGAGCAGCCGCTTCTGCTGGCCGAGCGCGATCGACAGGTGCACCTCGCGCGACGCCTCGGTGTGCGCGGCGAGGTCGCGCCGCGCGCCCTCCCACTTGCAGCCCGGGAAGGGGCACTCCACGCGCACATCAGGGCACGCCGCCGTGTGCGCCGCCAGGTCCTTGCGCAGCATGCCGAGCCCGCAACCGTCGCATGCGCCCGGCAGCAGGGCTATGCGCCTCTCCGCGTCGCGGTTGCGGAGAGGCGTGCCGTCGCCGAGCGCCACGCGGCAGGAGGGGCACTTGGCGCTCCCCGCGTAGCCACTCTCGCGGTGCTGGCCGAGGCAGTCGGCGCAGAAGTTGTGGCCGTTGGTGCAGCAGTGGACGTCGGAAGCTGGGAGTTCGAGGCAGAGCGGGCAGAGCAGGTCCTCGGCGTCGGCGGCGTGGCGCGCAGCGGAGCGGCCGCGGCGGAGAGGCCCCATGATCGGGGCTAGAGATCGCGCGTCGAGCCGGGCTGCCAAAAAAAATAACGCGGCGGCCCTCAGCGGAGCTGGGAAGAGGACCGCCGCAAGCGGCGTGGCGTGGAGCGGTTGTGCATCCCTCCGGGGGCCCCTCTGCGCCGGGGAGGCGTTGTTGGAGGCTAGGACGCAAGCGTCCGTCGCCCTTTTCAAACTCGGGGCCCACTCCGCTACGCTCCGACCCGAATTTGGAGGGCCTGAAAAGTTTAAGGTGTTGCTGCGCAAAAGGGTGGGGAGCGCAGGCGCGGGCGCGCAGTGGAAGCACGCTAGCCATACATATTCACGCAGAGAAGCTGACGACGGTCGGGGTCGTGACGGCTCGAGGGTGCGGTCGATCGCCCGGCATGCCGTGGCGGGCACTCCTCTCCAAGCACCGCGTCGAACTCATCGGCGCGGGCTCTCTCGGCTACGGGACCGGCCCCAGCTTCGGCTGAGGGCTAACAAGCTGCCGAGCCCAAATCACTGTGAGAGTCGTGATTTCTTGTTGGTTTCCTAAAATCTCTCTCTCAGGGGAACGGGAGTGGGGAGCGCATCGTGACACGGAGGGGGACTGGGCAGCGTTCACCCACACGACAGGGTCCCAGGGATCGAGCCGGGCTGGCTGGCAACAGTTCTTTGGGGCCAGATTTTCTTTTTGTGGAGTTTTTTTTTCGTCGTCGTGGGAAATAAAGAATCTTGTGCGAGGAAATAAAGAAAATCGGGCGGGATTGCCCCCCCACCCCCCGGCCGTCGTCGACGGGCGTTCCTTCGAGAGCTTCCATGGGCGCCTGCCTGGGGAAGCACCAAGCAGTGAACGACGACAAGAGCGGCGGTGGCAAGAGGTACATCGTGGTCGGCTCTGGCGCCGCGGGCTCGCCGCTCGCCGCCAAGCTCGCTCGCGCAGGCTGCACGGTGACTCTTCTGGAGCTCGGCCCTGATGACGACTGGCATGGGGACGCTGCTCCAGGGGTGCCGCTGGACCTCTTCAACCCGGAGTTCAGCTGGAAGCTGCAAAACCTGTATGCGCCGGCAGCGGTGCAGAGTGTCGTCTGGAGCGAGCCCACCTGGACTGTGCCGCGGGACTGGGCCGAACAAGTGAGACAGCTAAACGAAGGCGGCCACTCCCATTTCGCCGGCCCTGGCCCTGAGCCACACTCCGAGTACAACCACAACGCCAACGTGCTTGGAGGGAACACGGTTCATAACCTTGGCTTCTGGGTGCGCGGTGCGTTGTCGCAGTACGCCGAGTGGGGTCCCGCATGGGAGGAGGCGGCGGTGCGCGGGGCCTTTGAGGAGGTCGAGGCGGCGTACTCGACACGAGGGCTATACGGGAAGCTGTTCAATGCCAAGACCGCCGGCATGGACTCGAGCGTCGACGACGCGGTCATGGAGCGGTTCAGGGCCGCCGGCTTTGCGCCCGACCGCGCCCGCGACCTAGGCGAGGCTGGAGAGCGAGGCTCCGTGGCATGGAGCGAGTGGACCATCAGTGCAGCCGGCCGCCGCATGAGCTCGGGGAGCGTCTTTGTGGATCCGGTGAAGGGCCTCCCCAACTTCACGCTGCGCACGCACGCCAAGGTGCGCTCTGCGCCCCGCCCGCCCACACGCCACGGGAGCGGGACCACGCCATGCGGCAGGAGCTCTCGAAAGACCACCCACCGTCGCCGCCCCGGCCTACTGGTAGCCAACATAATCCTTCTCCCCGCTTGCGCGCGCCAGGTCACGCGTGTGCGCTTTGAGGGCGGACGTGCCGTGGGCGTCGCATACACCGACACCACGACCGGCGAGGAGTGCCTCCTGGACGCCGATGAGGTCATCCTGTCGGCCGGCGCGCTGGCCACTGCGGGGCTGCTGCTGGCCAGCGGCGTGGGGCCAGCCGTCGATCTGGCCGCCCTCGAGATTCCACTTGTGGCGGACCTACCCGTCGGGCAGGAGCTGCAGACGCGCGCAAAGGTCGGCGTGCTGCATACCTTCCATGGCGAGTCCGTGCGGCCGAAGGGCGCCATCGAGTTCCCGGCGAGCGCTCCCCTCCCAATCCCGTCCTCTCCTGCGCTGCCCTCGCCTCGCCTCGCCTCGCCTTGCCTTTGGTCTCTCCTCCACTTCCGACTCGGCCTGCGACTACCCCTCCAGGCCTTCCCAGCCATGGGCAAGCCCGCACCCACCTCCTACATGAGGACGCAGCCCAACATCTGGGCGATGATCCGCAGCCCCCTCGCCGACGCCGAGGGGCCCGACGCGATTGCCGACCTAGTCATCTGGGCCAACTCCAACACAGATGAGACTACCTGCCCTGAGCCGGGCCAGACCGCGGTCGCCTTCAACGTGTCTGCCATGCTCCCCAAGTCCCGGGGTTCGGTCACTCTAGCGCCCGATGGCAGCGGCGGCCACCGCGTGGTGTGGCGGCCCAACTTTCTCGCCGACGGGCATGCGTCAGCGGTGATGAGCTACGGCATCGGCCCTCGTGCGGGGTCAGAGCGGAGCTGTGCAGCCTCTCTTCACACGTGTGGTTGTGAGCAGGCATCAAGCTCGTGCGGGATATGCTTGCCTCCGACCCGCAGAAGCGGTTCTCGCAGCTGGAGCCCGCCGGCACGGCCGCAGATGAAGCGCACATCGCTGCGAAGGCGACCACATTTTGGCATGATTCTTGCACCGCGCCCATCGGCCGCGTGGTCGACCAGGACTTGCGCGTGATGGGGCTGCAGGGCTTGCGCGTCGCGGACACCAGCGTGTGCCCTCGCATCTCCAACGCCCCGCCCTCCCCCATGGCGCACGTCGTGGGCATCCTCGGCGCAAGCATAATCTTGCGTGGGGAAAAGGCAGAACTCTTGAAGGCGGATACTTAGGCGGTCGGGTAATCTGCCCGCCGGCCCGATCACCCAGATCATGCTTCCCATAAGCCATATCTCACAGGAGAGGTGAGACAGAGCTGTCAGTGAGTAGAGCCGTACGTGTCATGATAGGCTCACTGCGGTGTCAGTTAGTCACCTCTAGTCAGAGTAGTGCCACTACTAGTCTACCCTAGTGCGAGTGCCGAGTCCGGCCATGCATGCAGCGCGCGCAGCGCCGCGCACACAGTGGCGCCCAAAAATGCGTGAGATCGCGGCACACGCGCAAAAAGAAAAACCAAAATCAAACTTACGCGCAGAAGGACAGCTAGTGTAGATAGCGGAGCGGAGGCGCGGGCGGGCGTGACGAGGAGACCTCATCGCCGCGACATAGTGCCGTCGATGGGAAATCAGAGCTCCGACTTGCGGCTGCTGTCTCCAAGCATGGCCCACGCCATGTCACACGCCTTGATGGGCTGCTCCACGTACGGCGCCGTGCCAGCGCGGGGCACGCGCTTGTACGCCTCTGCGTCGCGCACCTCGACGCCGTACACGTCGGCGACCGAAGAGGGCACGCGGTTGGTGGGCGAGAGGCTGAACCACGCGAGGCCCGACACGAGCGCCATCTCGGCGGCGCTGAGCTCGAAATCGTAGATCTGTGCCGCCTGCCGCAGCCGCGCCTCGTCGCGCGAGCGCGTGAGCACGCTCAGGCCGAGCTGGACGCCCCAGCGGAGGATGACCTACGGGGCATGTCTTGGACGTGTCGAACGGACGTGTCCAGGCCGAGCCGTTCGCCCCAGCGGAGGCAGACCTGCGCCGGCGTCTTGCCGGCCCGTGCGGCAATCGCGCGGACGTGCGCATCCTCCACTGCCTGCGGGAAGGCTCCGAGAAGGTTCTGGGAAGGCTCCAGTGCCGCCGGGCGTGCTGCTCCTCCGCCGCCTTGAGCTTGCTCGGCCAGTCGTTGAGCGGGCAGTAGGCGGTGAGGGCGACGCCGAGCTCCGCAGTCGCCGCGTGGAAGTCCTCGCCGCCGCCGTTGCCGGTGCGGCCGCGGTGGTAGGGGGAGAACTTGGACTGCAGCGTGGCGGGCGGCGCGTCGGGGAAGGAGGCCTTGAGCTCGCGTAGCTCCGCCGTGCCGAAGTTGGAGACGCCGATGTGCCTGTCCACGGCTGCGGGCGTGAGGCAGCGCAACTCGCGCCTCTGTGCCAAGGCGAGGGGCGCCGGCGTGCCGGATGAGCCCCTCCTGCTGCATCGCCACCATCTCGCGCCATGCCTCGTGCCGCGCAGACACAGAGGGGCCGACTGCACACAGGGGGGGAGGGGAGGGGGAGTTGCTGGGCAAACCCACCTCGGCGGCCGCTCGGCCGAATCGATGCGCCGGGATGCCTCTCACCTGCTGCCTCTCTCCGCTGCCTCTCCGCTGCCTCTCTCCTGCCTCTCCGCTCCCTCTCCACTGCCTCTCCGCTGCCTCTCCGCCAAATCTCGGCCGGCTCTCGGCCGGATCTCGGCTAGCTCTTGCCCGAGTGGAGCATGTAGAGGTCGAGGTAGCTCACGCCGAGCAGCCGCAGCGACTCGCCCACCGCCTGCAGACACGTCACGGACGCGTCGCGGACGCGTCGTGGGCTTCTCTCGCCGAGCAGCCGCAGCGGCTCGGCCGCAACCTTGCGCGCTCCGCCCGCCGAGTACGAGTGCGGGAAGGAGAGCTTGTCGGCGATGAAGAGCTCGCCTGCATCAACAAGCCGTCTGTGACGCGGAAGCAGAAACGCGCGGGCTTGGCCGGGAGGAAGCTCGCCGCGCGGGACCGACGTCTCGGCCAGCGCCCTCCCGATCTCGCCGTGGTTGGCATAGTTCTCGCTCGTGTCGATGTGGCGAAGGCCCGCGCGAAGGGCCGCGCGGACCAGCTCGTAGCACGCAGATCCTGTCGTCAGCCAGGTGCCGACGCCGACGCTCGGCATCCGCCCGCCGTCCGACAGCTGGACGAAGGGGCCCACCGCGGAGCCGCCGACGCCGACGCTCGCCACCGCCGTCGCCTCGGCCGCAGGGGACCACGGCAGAGGACGCGAGGGAGGCGGGCTCGAGGCGGACACCTCGCGAGCGAGCGCCTCGACGACGCGCTGCAGCGCCCTGCCGGTCGCGCCCTCGTGAGCAATCGCCAGGGTGGCAGCCAGCCGCTCGGCCGAGCCCTCGCACTCTGGAAGCCGCGCGCCGCCCTGCTGTGCGTGCGCGCATCCGGCGTGATGGTTGCGGACGGCGTACGTCACAACCTCGAGCGCGTGGCGAGCGTCGTCGGCCTGCAGTTCGCACCGCCCGCATGCCTTGCGGCAGGTTGCGTGCATGAAGCCCGGGTTCTTGCTGCACTCGCCTCCCGCCGCCCAGCCGCCGCAGTCACTCGAGTCGTCCGTGCACTCGAGCATCGCGATTGTTTGCATTGCCGCCGCCGCAGCGGCCTCGAAGAAGGGCGGGGAGCCAAGGACAGGCCGCGCGAGGAGGAGGAGTGCGAAGAGCGAAGCGGAGGAGTCCGGCATGCACACAGGGAGAGGTGTCACGCTTGCCAGCGTGTCGGCTGCTTGCCAGCGTGTCGGTGGGTTCTCACACACGTGGACAAAAAAAGAATTTATGATCGTTGTTGTGCACGCCCTCCGAGCACTCTCCTTAAAATCCCTGTGTGGTGGCGGCGTGCCGTTCTCCCATCCCTCCCTTGGGTTGTCTGTTTTCTTTCTTTCTTTCTTTCCGAGCACATATTTTGAACGGCGCCTTCACTTGAATGGCGACCGCTCCGGTCGGCCTGTCGCCGCCGGCGCCCAACGCTGCCGCTCACACCATCTAGAAGCACCAAGGTGTCGCCGTGTCGGTCTCTGGCAGTTACTCTAGTGATGCTGGTGGTGCCGCACCCCAGGAGAACTGCGGCACACCTACGGGTAGTTTGGGCCCCGCGAGCCGTCTGGCGAGCGTACCCTGACGCAGTCGAGGTGCAGCCTCTGCAGCAGCGCCGAAGTGCCGCCGCCGTCGTGCGTCTCGTCGTCCGCGTGTGGCGGCCGGCCGAGCGGTGTGCCGAAGAGCTGCAGCTTGGAGACGTCGACGTTGGCGTCCGTGTGTCCCGCGGGGTTCTGCGACGACAGCACGAGGAAGCGCACGAAGCGCACCACTGTCGGCGCACACGGGCGCACCACATGCAGCCCGCGGCACGCGGGGAACGGAGGGAAGCGGCAGCCGCCGAGCGGTGCGTCGGGCGGCAGCCGTGGCGTGGCTTCCGCGGAGCCGTCGAGGGCGGCCTCGACCAGCCGCTTCGCCTCGTCGTCGCGGCCGCCGTCGTCGAAGCGGCTCGAGCCGAGCGAAAGCGGCGAAAGCGAGCCGAAGACGACCACGTCCTTCACCGGGTTGTCGAAGCCGTCTGCCGGATTGACGCAGCCCACCGCCGTGACCAGTGCGTAGCCGCCGGCGACCCGCGCGCACACGCTCACGTTACGGCAGTTGCCACTGCTCGAGCACCAGCAGCACTCGAGCGGCCCGCAGCCCCGGAGCGCAAAGTGCACGGGGTAGTATGCCGCAAACTCGCCGGCGCTGTCGCTGCACGCGGTTTCCCGCAGCGAGATCAGCCCCGCAGCCGCAGTCTGGGGCCTGTACTGCTCCTGCCTCGTGGACTGGCGAGTGCTCCGGTCAAGCGCAGCCCTGCACTCTGCATACGCCCCGCGCCACCGTAGAGCAGCGATCGAAGACAGCGTGCCGGCCGTTGCTGTGCTCGCCACATCCACTTGGAGAAACCACTCGCATTCCTCGCGCAGGCCAAAGTCGCGGGCCGCGAGCAACTGCCACAGCTGCGCGCTGCGATACACCAGATCACGGAACGCTTCGCAGACCGCCGCGCACCGACTCACAGTAAGGGCACTCTCTGACACGAGCAACACGCTCAGCCACGCGTCAGCGCTGAGATCCATAAAGCCGCTGTGCGCCTCGTCAGCACTGCTCGTACACATGGCTCGTTACCGGGCTCGTGAACCTGCACAGAACTGCAACACAAACGCACACACACACATTGTCGACTACCGAGGCAGTGAAGACGGCGGGGGCGGCAGAAGAAACGACGAACGACGCGTACGGGCCGTGTGCCGGGTAGTGGATGTGGGAGTCCACCGCGCACCGCGCTGCGAGCCTGTCGTGTCCCTTGTCAGGAGCAGGAGAGCCCCACCTGTCCCCCTGATCGTTCTTCCAAAATCCTGCTCGTGCAGGTGGGGACCCTGTCCTCGTCCCATCCCTCGTTTGGCGTGTCTGTTTTCTTTCTTTCTTTCTTTGCCGGGTTCGGACTTTTTGCGGGGTCGGACCAAACCGCAGCCTCCGCCGAACAGGACCATGCCCCCTCCCTCCCCCTTCGCCCCACCGCCGGCCGCCTTACCGCTAGGCTCCAGGAGGCTGCAGACGGGAGTTTTTTTGGCGGCGACACGGGGTTGTGGGGAAATCTCGCTAGAGTTTTTTTCTCTCTCTTGATTGTGGTGCCGCGATCAACTTCAAAAATCTCTCTCACAACCGCGCGCCAGCAGCGAGCGGTACTCATGGGCAAATCACTCTGTGTGACACATTTCTTGTTGGCTTCTAAAAATCTCTCATGGGACAAGGCGACTCATCACAATACGTTCCGAGTGAGAGAGAGATTGTCGAGTGAGAGATACTACTCCTCTCGTGAGCGGTGAGGCACTGAGGCTGTGTTGAGGCACGCTCAACTTATTAGCGGATTTGAACAACTCTATCGCGCGTTTTCAAACTAGCCGGGCAGTCGCACGGACGGAGAAGGGGCAACTCCGTGCACTGACGGTCGGCCGCCAGAAAACACTTTACGATCGCGTCACACCAATCCTCGCTACCCAACTTAGGTTTTAGGTAGGAAGGTGAAGAACAGCCGGGCTCGGACTGGACACCAACGCGGTATGGGTGGACGCGAGACCAGAGGATGACCCTCCGCGAACGCATTTGTTCTGCGCTTCGCGCCTTCGCCGCGCAGAAGTGGCACAGAGTGCAAGTTGGCTATCTAGATAGCGCCGGATGTTCCTCCTCCTGACGGCCAGCCTCGGCCTTTTCCCGTCGCCGGCTCTCGCGCCCGACCGGCTCCTCTCGCAGATCGCCGAGCTCGTGCTGCGCACGCGGCTGCGCGAGTGCGGCTCGTGTGAGGTCGCCGTGCGTGCGGAGCCGTCGTCAGTGCTGTCGGGCGCCGTCGACAGGGTCAGGGTGCGCGGCCGGCGCTGGTGCACGCCGATGCGGCTCAGCTGCGCGACGCTGGACGTCGAGGTCGGGCGGACGGCCGTTGACTTTGGCGCTCTCGCGACCAAGCGGCGGATCCTCCTCCGCGCGCCCGCCATGGGATCGGCCCAGATCCGCTTCACCGCTCGGGACTGGGACGGCTTCCTGCTCCACCCGCTGATGCGCGAGGCGGTCGCGGCGCGGCAGGCGCTCGATCCGCACGCCCCAGCGCTCACCTTCAGCGGCGGCGGCGGGACGAGGCTGCTGCCGGGGACGCCGGGATCGGACGGGGCCGTGCTCTTCCCGGTGCGCGCGGCGAAGACCGAGCTGAGCGCAGAGCTCCGCCAGGACGCGAGCGGCCGCGTCGTGTGCTCGTGCAGCGCCGGCGGCGCCGACGAGGCGGCCTCCTCCGCCGCGGCGAGCGCGGGCCCGTGGCTGGCAAGGCTCTTCGAGACGCTCGTGCTCGACCTCGACGGCTGCGAGCTCTCCTTTCGCTCGCTGCGGGTGGAGCCGGACGCCACGCTCACGCTGGACCTCCGCGCGCGCGTCCGCGCCTTCCCGTCGCTGGATATCAATTTTTGAGCGGTGTCCTCGTCAAGCATCAAAGGGCGCGTTTTCTAAAGAAAACATTACGTAAACGACTAAATTCATATTCCCGGCCTGGGCAGGCGTCCCACGGGGAACGGAAAAGAGTTATGGCGGCTTTACGGACACTCTCGAGCGCGTCTCTCTCCGAGCACCGAGGGGGGGCTTACGTGGCTGGGTTCACAGCGATTGTAGGAAAATGACGGGACCACTTGACGGTCGCGGCCTTCCGACTCGCGCCTCCGCCTCACTGGCAATATTGTAGCCCTGGCCGGTGCGCGTGCGAAGTTGAAGTTCCCGATTGAAAATTCGAACGCGTTCTCTCACGGTGACCAAAAAATGTCCACCTCAGAGGCACCTCCAGAGGCAGGCCGCCGCACGCCGGCGACACAGCTCCAGCTGTCGAACTGACCCGCAGCTCCTCTCAGAGCGGGACCTGTGACGAAAGTTGACTGAGGCGGTTGTCAGGAATCATCATACGGATCACATGGTGGCTCTCTCATGACGGGAGACCGCCCGACCACTCCTGGGTGGCACTGCCACCGGTGTCGCTCGACGTCCTGTCGACAGCATGCCGACAGCGACATAGACCATGTGGGACGCGTCGAGTATCGACCTCTACTGCTTACCCAGCCTTCGAGTGTATCCTGGCTGTGGTCCCACACCCACTGGTGTCCATCTCAGAGACCGCAGGAGGTCATGAGGGTCGATGGGAGTGCCAACCCCACAACACGCGGATGTGCGCCTATGTGTAAAAACCCAGCCGCAGCCCAGTAGAAGGCCCCGGCGCGCCAGCGGCGCGCCGCGCGCAAGCGGGACGGATCAGGGACGTTGCGCGAGGCCGGTCCGCACGTGATAGAAAAGAGATAGCGCGCGTGTGCGCGCGACGCGCACTCGCTGCTCGACGTAACTCGTCTCACAAGTACAAGTTGCTGCGCGCGCAGCAATGCGCGCGCAGCTCTGTTTCGCTCTCGAAGCGGCCGATCTCGAGCAGCGTCGCCAAGGTCTGGAACATCGGGTCACGGCGCGTCACGCCAAGCCGCGCGTACTCCGCGGCCTGCCAGCTGTCGACGGGCACGAGCTCCTCCGCCTTCGACGACAGCATGCACGCGGCCGCCTCCTGCAGCCCCAGCCACGCCACGCGCCGCACCTCCGGCGCCACGCGCTCGCGCTCGGCCTTGCCCAGCGGCCAGAAGTCACCCGCCTTCAGTAGCGTGAGAAACCGCTCGCGCCGCGCTGCGAGTGCCGCGTTGATGGAGTCGGGATGCAGCTCGGCCAGCCAGTCATTCTCGATGGCGAGGGCGACAAAGTTGTGCATGTCGAAGGAGACGCCACGCACCGGCTTGGTCCGCAGCCGGTTGAGCCGGTGCAGCACGCCGCCATTGCGAGGCGTCACGCAAAACTCCTCGCTCAGCTCGCGCCACGCCGCCTCCGTCAGCGACTCGTCCGGCTCACGTCGGCCGCCCGGAAACTTCCATTCACCGCCATACCGCATGACTGCCGGCTGATCCGGCCCGCTGCGCACCCAGTTCTGCACCTCGCTCTGCCCGAGCAGCACCTGCCAGCCAGCAGCGAACCAGATCTTGCCGTCGTGGCCACCCAGCTGCCGCATGCTGAAGCCGGAGCCGGACGTGGCTGGCAGCGTGGCAAGGTCGATGCTCGTCCGTCCCGCGCCGCCTGGAATGCGCCGCAGCAGCACCACTGTCGCTGCTTCCACTGCGGACATTGCACAGTGCGTCGAGTGACTCGGCAGGCAGGGCGGGGCCAACCAGGTCGGCCTGCTGTCTGCTATAGCTCGAGAGTTCACGCACGCGGAGTCGGCCAGACTGGTCGGCCGGTCCTCGGTTTTGTCGAGAGGAATTTTACGCAGCAACCTGTCCTATACAGGGAGTGGAGCCCACCGTGCACCGCGCTGCGAGCCTGTCGTGTCCCTTGTCAGGAGCAGGAGAGCCCCACCTGTGCCCCTGATCGCCCTTCCAAAGTCCTGCTCGTGCAGGTGGGGACCCTGTCCTCCTCCCCCATCCCTCGTCTGGGTTTGTCTGTTTTCTTTCTTTCTTTCTTTAGAGAGGACTCCCTGGGAGCACTGGGATCCTGTCGTGTCCCTGATCATCCGTCCATGTCTTATGTCTGCCCGTGCACCGTGGCACTCTGCACCACACCTGGATCTCTCTCTCTCTCTCCACACCTGATAGTGCGTCCTATCCCAAGCTTGATTTTCTTCTGTCCACACTTTCAAACTCGCTGGACGCAAAAGAGAGAAATAGACGAGATAGGGCAATTCACAGTCTCCGCACCGCCGTCTTTGAATAGACGACCTTCGCACCAAAATCTCCGACGATCCGTTTGTTGGGGCGCGCGCGACACGGTCGCGTCGGAGTCTCGGCCAGGGAGCGCGTGGCCCCGGTGCCCACATGTGCGCCGCCGGGGCCTGCGGCAGTATCTCGGGGCCCGACACGCCGCCGCGGCGCAGTCTATGCAGCTACCGCATGCCCTCGCGGCGTGGCCTGCGCGGCGAGCTCGTAGAGCATTCACACCAGGCGACAGGGTATGCAGTAGCCTTGGCGTGGACCCACCTCTTCCTGCCGATGTTCGGGAAGGCCGACCTCTTCCAGCGCAGCGCGGCCGATCTGATGGGGATGCACCTCGGCTGGCGCCAGATTCTCCTCATCTGGGCGTACACGAGCGTTGTCACCTCCCTCTGCTGGTGGCTGTACGTCGTCGCAGAGAACCGCGCCGGCTCGCTCACAGGCCGCTCTGCCCTGGCCGATCACGTACTGGCGGCGGTGTGGGGCACGCTGGCCACCTCGCTGGTGTACGTCACCGTGTGGGCGTGGATCTGCGCGTTGCTGAGCGCCCTGCCCACTGGAAACCCCATCCTCGCCTTCCTCTCGGGCGTGCTCATCACGGTCGTGGCGGCGGCCTCGGTGGTGCTCGGCCAGCACGGCTGCGGCCCCTTCCTCCTGCTTCGCGGCTCCAACCCGGAGCGCGTCAAGACGGTCGTCTTCTTCACCACCATCATGACGGCCATGATGTGGGTCGGCGCTCTCGACTACGGGCTCGCCTCGCTCTTCGCGAACCGGCACGGCTTCCCGCGATGGGCCGTCTCCTGGCTGCTCGCGCTCGCGCTCTGCGCCATGCGCTGGCTGATGATCGGTTGCAGCGACAGCAGAAGCTCGCACTTTGCCATGGCGGTGCGGAGTTACCCCTCCAGCCCGCACCTCGCCCTCTCTGTTGGCCTCGTGGCCAAGCGGCGGCAGGGCGGTATCTCGAGCGACGACGCGCCCTCACTGTCGTCGCTGCCCTCCTTTCGCGAGCTCCACAAGGCCTCGCTCGGCCTCGGCGCGTTGGTCGTCGCGTGGGGCGGCTCCGTCGCGCTCCAGGCTGCATCCACCACCACCTGGAAGGCGTGGCCCTTCCCCTACGCAAGCACCGAGGCCGTCGCGCCCAGCACGGCCTATGCCATGGCGATGACGGCCGCCTGTGTCGTGGCGGTGGCCACAGCCCGCGCCATCGCCGAGTCCGACGGCAAGGCCAAGGAGCGAGCCGACGCTCTCGCGGCCGAGACCGCCGCCCTCGGCGTTGCTAGCGGCTGGGCCTGGTACCACGCGCTCGAGTGCATCTTCCCCTCGCTCGGCGACCCCTCGCCGCTAACTAGAGCGATCGGGACCCTAGCCGTGACCGCGTTTGGCGTCATGGTCATGCTCGCGCTCAAGCCACCCGCCGGGACCGCGTACGCCGACACGCCGGTCGGCGGGTCTCATGGCAGCCCCCCGCGCACCTCGTACGGCTCGGGGGACGACCCCGACTGTGCGCCAACCTCCACGCACTACCGCGCCTTTGTGGACATGCGCCGCGCCCACTCGGCCGACTGGCTGCCTCCAATGGGGATGGAGGCCGGGCTGACTGATGCGACTGGCGCCGGGGGCAGCTCGGCCGACCAGTCGCCCCCTCAACCAACGAGGGAGATGGCCCACCCAGTGAGGAGACCCATGCCTGTCAAGCTGAGCACGAGCAGGCCTCTGACGGTTGTCTGGGACGAGCACCCGCAGATCACAGCGGGAGGTGAGCCGCCGCCGCCGCCGCACGGCCCCATGCAACCGCGGTAGCCAGCGGAGCTAATCTGCGCGGCAGCTCGCACCTTGTGCAAGCTGCAACTGGCATCGCCCGGCCTCCATCCCCTAACTTCATGCTTGGATGGCAACTCAGAAGCCGCACGTAGGAAAACTGGCTCCTCGCCGCGCGCTTGAGTTATGAGCCGCTGCTATGTGTATGTCAACCATGCGTATGCAACCGCCCCCCCCCTCGCTCTGCACAATTCAGAATTCTACTGGGTCTCCAGAGCTTTGCACCAGAGTCTTTGCGTTTGAATGTGGTAGTATGTTGAGAGACGTTGCATTATTTAGCAGAGTGTCGACCGTCATATCGGGAGTTGAGTATCCAGCGCCCGCTCGATCGGCCGAGCGCCCGCCCTCCGCTGACCGCGGCGCGCGGGGCTCGGGCCCGCCGCCGCGCGCGGGGCGCGCGCGCCCCTGCGGAGGAGGAGGCTGCGCTGCGCAAGCACGGGCGGGAGGGGCTTCTCCTGCGGAGTCGTGCGTGCGCAGGGCTCCTCTTTGCTTTCTTCTACTCCCTACTATCATCTCGTTCCCGTCCTACCAGAGAACCGCCCCCGCCAGCCAGCGCACGAGCGCGGGAGCGGGGCGCGGGGGGGCGCCTTAGGGGAGGGGGGGTCATTTGCGTGGTCCTTTGCTGGTTCATTTCATCATTTAACATCAAGAAACACCGCTGTACTTCACGCTCTACCGCTGTCAGTGACGACACACATTTCCCTCTACGTCGAAGGCGCGGAATCGGTGGAGCAGAGCACGGATCGGAGGCAGCGGCGCGTCGAGCCTCTGGTCGCTCTCCGCGGTCCGGACGCCGGCGCGGCGCCGGTACAGCCGCTCGGGTCCGACGGGGGCGCCGGCGCGGATCTCGCGGTAGCGGAGGTAGAAGTCCTGCGGGCCCTCGCCGGGCTGCGCGGAGAGTCGCCTCCGGACCTCGACCAGCGGCAAGCCAAAGGGCGCCAGCGGCTCGGTGGGCGGAGCGCGCCACGAGGGGGGCGAGATGTAGAAGCGGGCGCACGCGTTCACGGCGCGGAGGTCCCCCCGTGTCGCGGCCGGCAGCAGCGGCGCCAGGTTGACCTGCGCCGCGGCGAGGCCTCCGTGGTCCGTCTCGAGGAGGAGGAGGGCGGCGTCGGCGGTGTACTCGCTCGGGACGAGCCACTCGGGCAAGCGCAGGCCCGCCGCGTGGGGGAGCCAGTGGTTCGAGGCGCCGCCGCCGACGTCGAGGTTCGAAAACATGGCGAGGGAGGGGTGCGTCCGCACGCCGAGCAGCGGCATCGCCGCAAGGAGGCCGAGGCAGGCTGCGGGGAGGAGGCTCGCCGCCCGCCTCGCGGCCGTGGCTGGCGGCAAGGCGGCCTGCGCCTTGGGCGGCTGGCGCGGCGGCGGGAGGAGGGCGGCGCACGCGAGGGAGCCAAACGCGGTCGTCGACCAGAGCACGCCGAGCTCCCACGCCATGTAGGGCGGGTACTCGAACCTGCCCGCGGCGCGGCGCGACGCGGCCACCGCGGCAAAGCACGCCGCCACGCCTGCCGCGCCGCACGCGGCGAGGGCGGGCGGTGGCGCCGAGGCGAAGGCGCGCGCCGCTCGGCCCACCTCCTCAGGGAGCAGGCCGACGACGTAGAAGGGCACCATCAGCATCGTGAACGGGTACACCGACAGCGGAGGTGGCGGCAGCGCGATTGCCGCGTGAAAGGATGCTCCGCTCACCATCAACGCGCGGAGCGTCGAGCGGCGGCCGGTTCCTTCGCCGCCTCCGCCGCCGAAGGAGGCGGCGCCGAGCGCGAGCGGGAAGCCGACCTCGAAGGCGATGGCTGCGGCGGGGAGCAGGTGGAGCAGGCGCGGCCACGCGGGAAGCCAACCGCCGAGCATCGCCGCCGTCATCTGGACGCAGCACGAGGAGGCTGGGTCGAACCAGCCGCTGTTGAGCTTGGCGAGCGCAGCCGAGGCGTAGAGGACGCTCAGCTGTGCGCGCACGCAGCTCGCCAGCCGCACCAACCACTCGCGGCGAGCGGCGCGTGCGCTCGCCGTGCTGGCGTCCTCGACGAGGGCCGCGAGCGGAGCAGTCAGCAGCACCCCTGCTGCGAGCGCCATCTCCACGATGACGTGGTTGGACTGCGAGCCGTGGGCGCACAGCGTGCCGAGCCCTGCCGCGGCAAGGCTGAAGAGCGAGCGGCTCGACCACGGCCTCACGTGCGCATAGCAGACGGCGCCAGCGAGGAGCGCTGTCCAGAGCCGCTGCGGTTGCACCGCGAGACCGAGCGTGCCCACATCTTTGGCCACCTGCAGCGCCAAGCAGTGCGATAGGGCGAGCGTGAAGACGGTAAGCGCCGTGGTCTCCGAGGAGCGCTCGCCGGAGGCTGCGTGCCGCGACATGAAAATGGGGCGAAAGCAGCAAAAGAAAAATGAGGCCAAAAAGAAATTAAAACGCCGACACGGATTCGCGCGCACTGGCACTAACACAAAAGAATTCGGATTTCATTTTCTTTCTTGTTTCGGGGCCTTTGCCGTTCCCCCACCCCTCCTTTGCGCTTTGGGCTTACCGGCGCGGATTGTGACTGACCTACAGCGGCCGCGCACACTCAGTGGTGTCTCGAGAGTGTGCACATGTCCATGCACATGCACATGTGCGTCCCCGGCTCTCCGGGGCGGCGCGTGATCTGTGTGAGAGCAGGCGGGGTGCCAGTAGAGGGCCCACAGCGTCCTAATCTAAAATCTGAGGATTCAGGATTGAGGGCATCGCTTCAGTGAGGCCAAAGTGAGTTTATGGATGTGTGAGAACGGTTCGGGACACGAGGAGTCACGCGGACCGACTCGTCGGTGACTCTGCTGCACGCCGTTTCAGATCTTTTCTCAGCGTGAGCGAGACGTGGAAGAGTGCCACCGTCGGGTAGGACGGGTCGGCCCGGAGCATCGGAGTAGCCGTCGTGGTCGCGGCGAGCAGCGCCGGCCACTCCGGCGCCGCGTCGGCAACATGGGAGCATGTCCACCGCCACTTCGCGGTCGCAGCGCTGTTTGTCGCCCGAAACGCCGCTATGTACCTTTTTCGGGCAAACCATCGAGCTGCATGTCGATTTCGACTTGACGGCGGCATGGAGGCATCACGTCTCCATGCCGCCGTCAAGTTGGAGCCAGTCTGCGGCGACCACTGCGCTCAGAAAGGTACATAGCGAGCTATTCAGACTCAACCCACGATGAGAAACCAGCGACGGGGCAGGTTGCGTTCGTTTGTCACTCGCCATGCGCGTCCTTGGCTGACCCTCCAAAACTCCCTCCCCGCCGTTCGCGGCTCGGCTTGCGTATGCGGATGGGAGCTTCGAGGACATGCAGGCGTCCCGCCCCCTCCGGCCATCCCCCCGGCTCCCAAGCGCGCGGCCGCGACGCGCTGCGCACCCTCTTCCGCGCTGGACCCGCTCTCGGCATGGCCGTCGTCCGCCGAGATCACCTCCTCTTCGCGCCGCAGGTGCACAACCAAGGGCTGGCCACCTCCGTATCCATCATGGTGAAGCCAATGGGCCAAAAAGGGAGAGCGCTCCCCTCCCAGGTGGCCGGAGGGTACACCTCGGGTCGGCGTGCTGGGGGGGGCGCCGGTGCGCAAGCCCACTTTCCGGGCGACCCCGAGGGGGAGGAGGCCGGGCGAGTGGCAGCAACTCACTGTTAGTGTCCCGGGCCGCTGCGGCGCCGTTTATACGGCCCCTCGTGATGTCTTTCCGATTTTGCATTGTGAGTCGTCCTCTGGCCAGCCGAGGGGCACCAGAACGGCATGTGTACTGGTGCTGGCTGCGGGTGCGGAACGGGCTTTTTTTAACTCGCAACCAACTATACTATACAAGGACACCCTCGGGGGGGACACTCGGCGCATGTGCGTCACGTCAGGGTGGAGTTGGCAGTGGCCGAGCGTCGTCTCCCAATCGACTCGCAGCGCGGAGTCGAGGGGTGAAGCGCGTCGCGCTGCGACACTCGAGAGCCGGCGGGATAGCCGTGGGGCGCGGCCGACTTTGATGTCCTCGAAGGTCCGGTGCTCATTCGTCCTCTGAGACCCACGCGGACAGGAAAGGGGCGAGAACGCGGCCATTCTCCATTGACAATCTAACGCAACCTTGAGCTAGCCCGTTCCACACAGTGCCTTTTGCGCGAAATCCCACACCGGTGGATTTGGGGCGCTGTGGGCCCCCTAGTGCCAGGGAAGCGATCGAAGATGTGATCTCTCTATAATAGGAGAGTTGCTCAACACAAGTCCACGAAATACGTTAGCGCAAGTCAAAAGTTAAAGGGGGGCCGGGTGTGCGAGGCAGTCCGGCGCCATGTGCACTGAAGTCTCCTCGCTGTGCACACCGCGAAGGCCAAGCGTCGCTGCGTCGCTGGCCAGGAGGCGTCGGCCCTTCCGACCGCGAAAGGCAACGAACGCGTGTTCTGCGGGGGGTGCGGTCGTGGCATGGGTCGTGGCGAGTCTCGCTCCCTCCAGCGGCCGCGCTCAGCTCTTATCGTCGGGCGCGCCGCCCTCCCCCTCGCCCTTCGCGTCGCCGGAGCTAAAGAGCGACTGCAGCGACTTGCGCGTGGCGAGCCTGTGCGCAGAAGGCAAAGAGAGGGCGGTTGGGTTTGGGCGGGAACGGCGGGGGGGCGGGGGGGTGTGGGGGGTGTGGGGGTAGGTTTGGGCGGCAACAGCGAGAGGGAAGCGGCGGGCGCGGAGGCGAGGTTGGGCGGCGGCTCCGCGCGCCGCTTCTGCTCTTTGCGCAGCCACGTGCAGAAGAGCGCGAGCCTCTGCCGGTGCGAGTCGGACTGCAGCAGCGCCTGGGGACGGAGGAAGTGGGCTCCAGCTCAGTGCGGACCGATGGGCTCAGACCAACGCCTGCTCGGCGCCTGGAAGCGGAGCGAGCCCGGCTCGCCGTCGAGCGCGTCCACCTCGCCTCGGTACCGCCGCTGGATCGCCTCGATCTCGGCGATCAGCTCCGGAGGCAAGTCCTACACGCCGCCGGCCTCTCGGCTGACGCTCGGTGCATCTCGGCGGCTCTCGCTCCGCTCTCGGCGGCTCTCGGCGGCTCTCGGCGGCTCTCGGCGGCTCTCGGCGGCGGCGGTCGCTCCTGCAGCCGGATCTCGCCTCGCGCGTTGACGAGGTCCTCGCGCAGCGAGTTGTCGCTTAGGTAGCTCGCGACGCCGCTCTGGATCTCGCGCTGCATCTTTTGGCCGAGCACCTGCCGAGAGGCGATCGCGGATCAGCCGAGAGACGACCTGGCGCTGCGGCGCCAGGTCCGAGCCGCACCTGCGTCCTCTGCTCGAGGAACTGCTGCCACAGCCCGATGGTGCCCCACAAGCCCCGGTCGGACGGCGACGTGCCGCGTGCAAAGGAGAGCGAGCCTGCGGGGAAGGGTCCGGGAAGGGGTCCCCGGGCGCCAGGACGGCGACGAGCCGCGAGCGGACAGCTCTTCCCTTGACGGCGTCTGTGAAGCGCGGCTCCTCGCCGAGGCTCTTCTGCGCGTCGACGAGCGAGACGAAGAGCTCCTCCGCCGCACCCTGCGGGAGGGGGGGTGGGAGAGGGGTGGGACGGGGTGGGCGAGGGGTGGGACGGGGTGGGACGGGGTGCTGGAGTGCCCCGGCCAAGGCTCCGCAGAGAGCGAGAGAGAGACAGAGAGTCGCAGAGAGAGAGAGAGAGAGAGTCGCTTTCGCCGCGAGAGGACCGTGCACTCCCTCTGCTGCGCCTCTCGGCGCCTCTGAGAGAATCTCGAGTCTCTCTTTCGGCCGCGCGCCTCCTCCGCGGCGAGGCCCTCGTCGGGCTTGCCCTCCTCCTGGCCGGCGGGAGGGGGAGGGGCGGGGTCGGGGCGGGGAGACAGGGCGGGGAGACAGGGGCGGGACGGGGAGGGCGGTGGCAGGGCGGGAGGGGCAGGGTTGAGGAGCAGAGTGAGGGAGGGGGAGGGGGGAGGGGGGGTGTTGCGGCGCCTGCTGGTCCGAGTCCGAGAGCACCTCGACCTCGGCCTTGAGGTAGGTGTCCTACGCGGCGAGGCTCGGAGACGGCTCAGAGAGAGGGTGGCCCCCGTCCCGCCTCTGCACCCCGCTCGGAGGCGTGTTGCCCGGGTCGCAACCACAGACGGGTTGAGCACGCGCCTGAGAGGAGGGCTCGGAGACGGGTCCGGGGGGGAGGGGGAGGGGGGGTGCGGATGGACGGCCGACGGGCAGCGAGCACGCGCCGCAGCCGCACACGGTTGATGACGCGGTGCTGGCCGATGTACTTGACTCGGTCCTACAAGGTCCGAGAAGAGGCTGCGGCGGGAGGGCGTCCTCACCGCGCGGACGTCTCGCCCGGCGCCTGCGTCTGCTCCGACACCTCCTTGAGCTCGTCGAGGTAGAAGACGACGCCCACCTCTGCGAGCGCGCCCGTCTCCGGCTCCACGTTCGTCACCATGAAGCGGCGCGCGCCGTTGAAGAGGATGTCGTTATACATCGCGCGGTAGCGCGGCTCGAAGATGTTGAGGACGGGCGTGGTGTGCGGCAGGTAGGCGGCGCCGAGCGGGAAGAGCGGCATCACGCTGGTGCCCTGAGGCGGGCGGGGACGGGCCGTGTGTCGAGGCGGGCCAGCGTCTCGCAGCGAGGAGCGGGCCACGGGCCACGGACCTCCTCCTCGGTCGGCTCCACGTCCGGGCCGCTGGCGTCGACCGTCACCCAGTTGACGCTCGAGATGCCACCGTCGTTGATGTCTCCGCTCTCCTCGTCGAGCAGCAGCAACGGTGGCTGCGCGGCCCGCAGAACCAGCGGGCGGGCGTAGGCCGCGCCGAGGTCCAGCGGGCGGGCATAGGCAGCGCCGTGCGCCGCGCCGCGCAGCGCGCGCGGCGGTAGCGTATGCCCGACCGTGTAGAGCAGCAGCATCGCCTTCGACGGTGAACGGCTGTAACCTAGCGCACTCGTGCGAGGCCCGCGAGCAGGCGGAAGCCGAGGAAGCCGCTGGGAACCAGAAGAAAATTCGGCGGGGGCCACATGATCCGTAAAGGCCCCTTGGCCCCTCCGTGTTGCGATGCGCTCCCCGCTCCCGTTCCCCTGTGTCCCTGATCGTCCTTCCAAGATCCTGCTCGCGCAGGTGGGGATCCTGTCCTTCTCCCACCCCTTGTTTGGAGAGAGAGAGATTTTTATTAACCAACAAGAAATCACGACTCTCACAGTGATTTGGGCTCGGCAGCTTGTTAGCCCTCAGCCGAAGCTGGGGCCGGTCCCGTAGCCGAGAGAGCCCGCGCCGATGAGTTCGACGCGGTCGGGGGGGCCTGCGGAGAGGCCAGCGAGGTGCAGGTGGCGATCGCTGTACTTCATTCATGGCGCCCTCAAAGTGGGGCTGGCTGACAAGCCAGAGGTCGATACTCTGGACGACCCATAGGATGCCACGAATGCCTGAAGGAGAGGGAGGCGAGGCCAGAGGCAGGCTCAGCTGCTCTCGGGTGATCCCGCTTTGGAGGCTGAAGGACCCGATGGTCCTGTCACATTCGCGTTCCGAGTCGTGGGGGTAGAAGAAATCGAGTAGAAATCGAGTCAGCACATCCTTGTAGTACAGCGGACCGCCAGGCTCGCCGGCAGCATCCGCAGGGAGGCAGCATATGAGGCACCAGTTTTCTGGAGGTCTCAGCAGCTGCGGCCGCGGTGGCAGAGTCGGCCGCGGCTCGAGCGAGCAGCTTTTGGCTGCGGGTTCGGGGTTCTCTCTTGTTTGGTGTGATGGTGTGTCCGTTTTATTTATTTATTGATGCGTACATGAAGGGTGGAGGGCCCGTCCGCGGAGCTAGGCGGCGCACCACCCTCCACTGGGGTCCGAGGGTAAGAAGCCCTTTGCCGTGTGCTTGTCCTCTTGACGGCGTTGACCCAGCTGGCACGCTCAGGGGAGTTGACCCAGTTGGTAAAAAAGAAATAAAATGGACAACCCAAGGGAGGGATGGGAGGACGGCACGAGTTGGTACGCATTCCGTGATTTTCTTCTAATCCTCCACAGGCGCCGCCTCGCCGCGCGAGCTCGCTCCGGCTTGAAATGATCAACTCCATCACGCTCACGCTGGCTCTCTCGCTGCCGCCGCCTCCGCTTCAGCTGCAGCTGCGCTCCGCCGGCGGCGGCAGGCCGGTGCCGGCGACGCGTCTGCGCAGCGCCGGGCCTCGCCTCTGCGCCGCATCGCCTGCTGTGCTCACCGAGATCCAGCGAGTGGGCGCCGAGGCAATCCTGTGCTTCTCGCTCAGCGCGGGCGCGACGGGCGACGCGCTGGCCGAGGTCGGCGAGGCTGAGGGCTCGCCGGCGGCGCTCTCGCTTCTCCTCGAGCGCGACGTCCCCGAGGCGCTCGCCGCCGCGATGCAGAGCAACGGCAGCTCACTCCGGCTGCTCGGGCAGGCGCAGCTGGCTGGCGAGTCTCCTGAGGAGCTGCTCGCCCGGTTCGAGCCGGGGGAGCCGCTCTCGCTGCGGATGGCGGCCGAGGTCTGGCCCGAGGTGCCGCTCGTCCAGCGCTCCTCGTACATCGGCCTCACGCTGCGGCTGCGTGGCCGGGAGGTGGAGGGCGCAAAGAGAGAAGAGGCGCTGCTCGAGCTGCGGAGGCGCTTCCCGCGACCGGACGGGTCGCTGCCCGAGCTGGACGACCAGCTCGCCGCCGAGGTCTCGAGCGGGCTCACTGCGGCCGCCCTCCGCGACCTTGTCGAGGAGCGCGGCGCGCCGATCGCCACGCGCCGCCACACGGCCTGTCCGCGGAGCTTCTCGGAGCCTTCCTGTAGGAGCGACTCAAGCGCGAGGCGGCGCTCGCCGCCAGCAGCGCCGCCTTCGAGGCGCCGCCGGGCGGCGCCGCCTCGCCTGCTCGGGACACCTGTTTTGGAGTTTTGGGACCCCCCCTCCGGTAGGCGGCAGAGGAGGCGCTGCTCGCCGCCGTCGCAGTGGACATCCCCGCGACGATGGTCAAGGAGAGGGCGCGCGCGCAGTACGCGGAGCGCTGCCGGCAGGCGGAGGCCGCTCGACACGTCCACGACACGTCCACGACACGTCCACGACACGTCCACGACACGTCCACGACACGTCCACGACACGGCCGCACGACGCGTCTCTCTCTGCTGCCCGCGGCAGGCGGAGGCGGCGGCGCTCGACGGGGACGCAGCATCGCGGGAGGAGCTCCATAGCCGAGAGGAGCCGAGATCTGGCCGAGATCATCGCGGGAAGAGGTCGCTCTTGAGGTTGGAAGATGCGTTTCGAGCCTCCTCCGAACCTGCTCCGAACCTGCTCCGAACTTTGCCCCACCTCCCGCCGGCACAGGAGCTCCGCTCGCTGATGACGTGGGACGCTTTCTCCGCCTTCCTCGCCTCCGAAGAGGTGCCGCCGTCTCCACCTCTAGTGCCGCCTCCTCCGCACCGGACACCGCCGCAGAGGGGTCGGGCGGTGGGGCGTCGCGTGCGTCTTGCCTGCAGTGACGAGACAACAACTCCCGCCGCCAGGCCGCAATCTCGCGCTCGCTCGCCCTCTCGTTTGCCATCGAGGCTGTCTCCTCCGCGGAGGGCCTCGCCGTCGACGAGCAGGCGAGGGCCGAGACCCGAGATCACTCGAGATGACGCGAGATGGGCCGAGATGGGCCGAGATCACTCGAGACGACCCGAGATGGACCGAGATTACTCGAGATGACGCGAGATGGGCCGAGATGGGCCGAGATCACTCGAGACGACCCGAGATGGACCGAGATTACTCGAGATGACGCGAGATGGGCCGAGATGGGCCGAGATCACTCGAGACGACCCGAGATGGACCGAGATTACTCGAGATGACGCGAGATGGGCCGAGATGGGCCGAGATCGCTCGAGATCGCTCGAGATCGCTCGAGATCAGGCGGTCACCGACAACCTCTTCCTCTACGTCAACGAGTGCAAGCGCAACGAGCGGCGCGTGCGCGGAGCCGGAGGAGGAGGCGAGAGGCGGAGCACTTGTCGCCGAGCCTGTCTGGCCGCTCCCCCGCAGGCCCGTGCCGGACATGGACGATCCCGCCTTCCGCGAGTCCTTCGAGGCGAGGCCATCCGAGAGCGGCCGAGATTCCGAGGTTGCCATGGCGCTTGTCCGAGGCCGCTTGTCCGAGGATCGCTTGTCCGAGGATCGGCCGATCGCCCAAGATCATCCGAGTTCGGCCGAGATCAGCCGAGATCAGCCAGTTTCTGCGAGTCGTTAGAGCGGCGGCGGCGGAGAGTGCGGCGGGTGAGCGGCATTCTCCGTGGGGCACGTAGGCGCAGTATGTGCGCGAGGCCGTCCTCCGCCTCGTCGTCGACCACGCCCAGGTCGAGTGGCTCCCCTGACCTCCGGCCGCTGGCCGCCTGGAGGGATCTCGGGTGATCTCCGAGGTGTGATCTCGGGCCTTTTTTGGGGCGCGCGACGGGGCTTGGAGCGGGCTGTGAGGCTGCGAGGCAACAGCGAGGCCACAGTCCGCATCCGGCATCGCAGGCGGCCGATCGCTGTGTCGGAGCTTTCGACCTTTCGTTTTTATCTCCCATCGCTCATACGACGTCATGGGGGAGAGAGGGCTCTCCGGCGCCACCGTGTGGCGTGTGCGTGATCCCAGTGAGCAGTGTCCTCACACGTTCACAGGGACGCACAGAGATCACACCGACAGTGTTTTTTTTATTTTTATTTTTCCGCGTCTCGTTAATAAAAAACTACTAACTCGCGCTCCTAGATTCTGATGCTGAATACTATAACAACTCACTTTACAGCAGCACACGACACACGTAGAGAGGGAACGGCCGCGGGGGCGCCGTGTAAGAGAGGAGAGCAGCAGTGGACTGTGTGGAGAGTGTGGAGTGCCGAGTGGAGCTGATGCGGGTGCGTCTCTCTCCGCTGCCGCAGAGCATGCACGAGCATGGCTGGAGCGAGGGGAGGGGCCGGGCGAGGGAGGGGAGCGAGTGGAGCATCCTCCCGCAGTGGCGCCCCTCTCTCTCCCGCCTCTCTCCCCCGCCACGCCACCTCCTCCTCCCCCACACCACACCGGTGCCCCGCGCCTAGCCACCAAGGCCGCCGCCCAGCCGCCAAGCCAGGCCGACCAAACCCGCCAGGCCCGCCGCCTGCGAAGCCCGCCGCGCCCGCCGCGCCCGCCGCGCGTCCGCCATCTGCGCGGGGAGCAGCTGCGCTCAACAGGCGCACCCCTTCCCGCCGCCGCCCTTGGCATCGTCCAGCTTGGTGCTCGAAGAGAGCGCGTCCTGCGGCGGAGCGGGCGGGCGTGGGGGTGAGCAGGCGAGTGGGCGAGAGGCGCGGCCGGGGAGGACGAGTCGGCTGTGGCTCTGAGCACTTGCGTGTGGCTGTGGGAGGCGGAGTGCTCTGCTGGCAAAAAGAGGGAGGCGAGGAGAGGAGAGGAGAGGAGAGGCGAGGCGAGGCGAGGCGGCCAGGGAAGAGGCGAGGAGAGAAGAGGCGAGGAGAGAAGAGGCGAGGAGAGAAGCGGCGCGAGGGGGAGAGGAGAGAGAAGAGGCCGCCAGCCGCACCTTGCGCGGCACGCACTGCGCCAGGTCGACGAACATCCGCCGCACGTTGTGCCCCGTCTTCGCCGACGTCTCAAAGTAGGACATCTCGTTTTCTCGCGCGTACGCCTGCCCCTCCTGTGTCGTCACCACGCGGTACTGCTCCAGGTCGCTCTTGTTCGCGGCAAGAGCGATCACCACGTGCGGCTGCCCGTAGAGCTTAAGGTCGTGCACCTGCTCCAGGCGGGCGGCAAAGGCGGTGGCGGGGAGGCGCAAGTCGCGGTGGCGGAGGAGGAGGCGGCTGTGGCGGAGGAGGGCGCGGCGGGGGGCGGCGGAGGCGTGGCGCGCCCAGCTCTTCGCGCCCTCGAACGACTCGAACGACGTGATGTCGTACACCACGATCGCCGCCTCTGCCCCCCGGTAGTACATCGGCGCGAGCGCCTTGTACCTCTCTGAGCCAGCTGTGTCCCAGATCCCAAACTGGATCTTGTCGTCCGAGTCGTCGAGCGGCACGGGAGACTGCAGGAATGCGGCGCCGACGGTCGTCGGGTGCTCTGTGTTGAACTGGTTCTTAACGAACCGGTTGACGAGGCAGCTCTTCCCGACGTTGGAGTCGCCCAGCTGCGGGCAGGCAAGCGGAGGTGCGGGTGAGCCCGCGGGGCGCGCGCGGGCGCGGGGTCAGCTGCGCGCCAACACGAGCTTGCACTCTGTTGTTCTGGGCGCCGCCATCCCGCCGTGTGCACAGGCCGGAGAGGAGTTCCGTCGTCGGCGCGACGGCGAGAAAAAGAATTGTGCGTGTACTTGCGGGCATTATAAAGAAAGCGTCGCATTAAGAAACCCTACCAAGCGATTTCCGCGAAAATCTAAGAAACCACGGCGCGCCGCAGGCGCGGCCCCGAGAAAAGGCCAGACACGAGTAGTGTGAACGGGAGCCCCAGCTGAAGCTCAAAATTGGCACGTGTGAGAGAGATTTTTATTATCTTTCTTCACGTGTGTGTCCAGTCCGAGCCTGACTGTACCTTCCGACATACACACATGGCACTAATACAACACAGGTAGAAAGAATCTCTCTCTCACACACAGGTACAGGTAGGTAGGTAGAAAGGTGAAGAACAGCCAGGCTCGGACTGGACACCGAACGGAGAAAAAAGAATTTACTCTTCGCCGCTCTTCGAACTTTCTGCGCGCGTCCTCCTCCTCCGCTCGACAGGAGCCCCTCGCCTCTCGACAGGAGCCCCATCGCAACTGAATGAGGGCGACGGTGCTGCAGGTGGCGCACGGGAAGCTGTTCGCGACCTATCGCGACGCGGTGCGGGCGATCCAGGTTTTTTCCCAGCTCCATGGGTACGAGTACCGACAGGTCCAGCTCGCTGACTCTGTGCCGCAGCGCTTTGCGCGAAACGCGAGCTGCGCCTACACCTGGAAGGTGGAGCACATTCTTCGCGAGCTCCGTGGCCCATCGCTGCGGGAGGGCGATTGGCTCCTATTTGTCGATGCGGACGTGACCCCCGCGGAGGACTCTGCTCTGGGAGACGACCTCCGAGCTCTCCTTCCGACAAACTCGAGCGACTCAGAGCCGTGCTTCCTAATCGCGCAGGATGGGCGGAGGGAACTCAACACGGGCGTGCTCCTCTTGCGCAAATCGGCCGATGCCATCGAGGTCGTCGCCGATTGGCTCGCGCGCCAAAAGGAGTACGAGATCTGCCGCTTCGGTGCGGATCAAATTGCGCTGCAATTTGTGCTCACGGCTTGGATTGCCCGCAGACTTGGCGCACAGCCACCCCTGAGATGCCCGGCACAGCCACTGCCGCGTCCAAGCAGCTTGCAGCCCGGCCACTACTCGCGGCTCGACGACTGCTACGTCACCGCAATGGCCACCCTGCAGATGCCTCACAACAAAAGGTCTCGCGCCGGCGTGTGCTTGATCCCGACGACCACGCCGCTAAACATTCACGACTTCTGGGGCACGCACCGGCCCGGATCGTTCTTCTACCACGGGAAGCGCGCAAGCTCCAAGGCGGCCAGGTGGCTCACGCGCAGACGAGCCTTGCTGTCGCAGGATGGCCGCCTGTCGGCTATCGCCCCCCCAGAGTGGGCTGCTGCCCCCTGCCCCAGGACTGCCGTGACGCGTGACTGCCTGAGGCGGTAAGATGTGGACAAAAAAAGGAGTCGGGCTCGGTTCGGACGAGGGACAGCACACACAGCAGCCGCCCGCGGGGCGAGAACGGAGAGGTACTCCACGACCACGTGTACGCCGCACAGCCCATTGTGCTGTCGCCCACCACCATCCACCTCCTCGCGCCCCAGTCTGGCCAGAACAGAGAGTGTACGACATCCGACCTGCGACGGGGACCCCGCGCCGTCACCGCCGTCAGCCCACGTGCCCCAACGCGATCCTCCCCCAACGGAACCCGACAAGGGGAAGGGACAGGGTTCCGGCTCCTACCCAGATAGGGGGTCTGTCCACACTGAGTCGCGCCAAAACGCCCTACCTACCTACCTATTGCGGGCGCCAACCGCCAGGCTCCGCGTGCCCCACCTACCTACCTATTGCGGGGCCGCGCAGCGAAGCGAAAAATACCCGTTTAGCCTTTCTGTGAACAACCCCTTGGAGTGTGAAGGCTTCGTAGCCCTCCGGTCTACTATTGAAGATCCGCAGGACTGGAGCGAAAAAAAAGCAAGCGAGTGTTCTGTGAATAGGCTCCGCGGGCGCCGCCGCCGCACCCGTCTCGGCTGGCGTCCCAGCCGCAGGCGACTCGTCTGGCATGGCCCGTTCGCGGCTAGCCGTCTCCCGCGCGAGCGAAGCGGTTTTTTAAACCCCTCCCCCCCAACACCCCCACCCCCACCCCCACCACCACCACCTACCTACCTATTGCGGGGCCCTCTGGGGCGGTCAAAAGCGGACCTACCTACCTATTGCATAGGGGCCAGCCAGTGCGGACAGACCCCCTATCTGGGTAGGAGCCGGCTGCTCGTTCCCAGGGTAGGGTGCCCACAGGACCCAAAAGAAAATAGCTTTGCGGCTCAAAAAGGGACGCACGAGGCAAATCTGATGTTGGATTGTTCCAACAGGAGCGAGGCCTCTTCCGTTGGGGGACCGAGTACATAGGAAACGAGGGTTCCCCGGTTTGTCACGCGCGAGCACGAGCGTGACACTGCACTTGGCGCCGAGCGCCCGCGGCACAGACCTTGTGCAAGCCGACCCTCGGTGGGAGCACCGGTCCGGACCGATGGCGCTCGGTGTGGAGCAAGCAAGACCCCCCCCCCCCCCCCCATCGGCGCGCGCTCGCCATTCCAACGGCCGCGAGGAGCACCAAGAGGACTCCTCATGGCTGCTCCCAAGTGGGCTTCGACCGGCCTCGACTGGGGGGGCGGGTTGTCCCGGTTGCGGACGCCTTCTGCAGCCCCCTGGGCCCGTGACAGCACCCCAAAACTGCCCCTCGGCGGCATACAGCACTGCCAGCCAGCCTCTTCCTCCTCCTAAGGGCTGTACTATAGGCCATATTGCGCCGCCTCCTACTGGCAGCCGGGCGGGCGCGCGCCGCGGGCGCCTCGGCGCGCGCACGGCTCGCAAAGTTCGAACGAGTACTGCCGCCCGGCCGCCTCAAGGCTGCCGGACGGCAGTACTCGCCTCGCAAGGCGCGCACCGGCTGCTCTGGCTGCTGCGCCGGCGGCCGCTGCGCTGGCCGCTGCTGCGCTGGCTGGCGAGCGGTACGGCCGCCGGCGGCCGCTGCACCCGCGCCTTCCCTCGCGGGCGCCGTCGCGCCGCGCGCGCCCAACTCTGCTGGCACACGGCACGCGTCGTCACACAGCCGCGGAGAACAGGCGGTGCTGTGCGCGAAGCGCGCGCGATCTCGTACTTTCAAGGCTGGATCCGGCCATTCCAAGGGTATACCTTTGAGAATCCCCAGCGTCCCTCCCTCCTAGTCACACTCTCAATATCTCGACTATCCAACATGAAGTGCTGCGATCGGGAGTCCCCCATTTCTTTTTTCCTTTCTTTTTTTGGGTCCTGTGGGCACCCTACCCAGGGAGCACACGTCCCCGTTCACACCTACACACGGGTAATCAACCCCGCTCCCCCATGAATATGAATCGCCGAACTTGAACGGCGGGCGCTTGACGAACCAGGGGGGAACGGGCGTGGCAACCACAACCACGTCGGGCGTGGTTGTGGCAACTCATGATCGAACCAGCGACTCATAGAGTGGAACCAGAGTCGAACGTAACCACGGCGGACGTGGTAGTGGCAACCACGGCGGACGTGGTTGTGGTCGGTCATGACACATGATAAAACCGGAAAGGAAAAATCAGGTGCGTCGTTGGCGTATTTTAGTTTTCTTAACGGTTGTTGGGACTTGAGCACTTGAGCACTGGATAGGGCCGATTCCGCGTGGTACGGGACCCCTCGATCGTGTTGGGACTAATCGATTTCACAGCGTGCTGGTCGTGAAGAGGCGCTACTATGATCGAGGGAGACCATGAACTGTCGAGCGGCCGCAAGGCAAAGGCCGCGCGCACAGAGAAGCTCCCCCCCGCCGTCGAGGGAAAGGCCGAGGGCGTGTCAAGCCCGTCGGCCCCGGACAAGGTCAAGGCGCTGTTCACGGGCGCGGTCATGACGCCCGAGCTCGCGCCGAAGTCCACCCTCCAAGGAGAAGAAACCTGTGCCCGCAGTCGGGGCTCTCGCCCCCCGGTGTGAACATGAACACGCCGTGCGGGAGCGCCCCCCACACCTCAGGGCGGAACCCAGGGCGGGCTCGAGCTTCCTGCTACGGTCTAGGATCGCGCGCGATGACGCAACGCTGGACCGACACGGCGGATGCCGAGCTGGTTCGGGCGGCCAGCGACGCCGACATCGACGCCATTGATCGCCTTCTCGCCGAGGGATCGGTTCCGAACGGTGTGGTCACGATGCAGTTCCCGATGGAGCTCCACGGCCGTCAAGTCATGGCCGCGGCGCCAGTGACTCCCCTGGGCGTAGCAATTCGTTCTTCGACTGGTGGCGGACGCGAGGCGGTGGCCGTCGAGCGGCTTCTGAGCGCAGGGGCGCTCCCGCTCGCAAACTCCGTCGGGCCTCAACAGCTGCCGGCGCTCGGCTTCTCGCTGCTTCTGAACGGGCCTCGGAGCTCGCCGAGACGCGCGTACGACTGCGCCCGCGTGCTCATCGCCGCGGGCGTGGCTGTGGAGGAGGCGGACGACGAGAACACCACACTGCTCAGCAATGCCGCACATGAAGGGGCGACCTTGGCCACGCGCCTGCTCCTCAACGCACGGGCCGATCCAAACCGCGCCAAGAGAAATGGTTCCACCCCCGCCTACAGGGCGGCGCAGGAGGGGCACGCGCCGTGCCTCCGCTTGCTGCTGGCCGCAGGCGCCGACGCGAATGCGCGCTTCCAGACCGGCGCGACGCCACTGCTGGTGGCCGTTGGTTATGGCCACCTCGAGTGCGTCAAGTTGCTGCTGGCTGCGGGTGCCGACGTTGAGGTGGTTGCCTCCGACGGCACCAAGCCAATCGACCACGCGAAGCGCGAGGACATCCAGGCCGAGTTGCTGTGGGCTCGCGCCATGATTTCCTCAGCACCCGATGGCAGGGCAGGGTTCGCATCGCTGCAAGCGACGGCGGCCGCTGGGTTTGCAAAGGGTGCGAGGGTTTCGGTGCACGGCCTTCAGTCCCGGCAGGAGCTCAACGGCGCAGTGGGACGCGTTCTTGAGGTCGACATGTCAAAGGGGCGCCTGAATGTTCAGCTCCGCGACGGCAGCGTCATCGCGCTCAAGGGCAGCAATCTGCAGGAAGCCCCTCCGGCGGAGGAGCAGCAGGCGGAGGGGCAAGGGTCGGTGCCGGTGAGCCGCGAGGAGGTGGTCGAGGCGCTGCAGACGGTAAATCCGCGCACTCTGCGCTGGCTGCTTTCGCGCGGGGACATTGACCCCGACATGCCCGTGCCGACGCATCTAGTGCCAAACGCGACGTCGCTGGGGCAGACGGCTTGCTTGCTGAGCATCGCATCGCTGTTTTCATTTGGCGGTGCACAGGGCGAGGACGCCGACAACTCCGCCGAAAACGCGATGATGTGGGACGGCGTTGGTCCGGCGCTGCTGGAAGCGCTCCTCGATAGTGGGGCCACGGTGGATGGGAGAGGAGGCGCGGAAAAGACGCCTCTCATGGTCGCCGCCAAAAACGGCAACCCGGGCTACGTCCGCCTACTCCTGGAGCGGGGCGCGTCGGTGTCGCTGCGCTGGCATGAGACCGGTGGCGATGCGCTGATGATGACAGGCATGTGCAAGCACGATGCGCGCGGCGCCGCGTGCGCGCAGATTCTGCTCGACGCCAAGGCGGACGTGGAGGGCGTGGACGGCGCTGGCTATACCCCGCTCCTCGCCGCCGCCGAATGGGGGCGCAGCGAGATCGTGGCAAAGCTCATTGCCGCGCGGGCAGAGCTCGACCGTAGCCCGTCGAAAGACAATGGGCCGGGGTACACCGCGTTGATGGCTGCCGTCAACTCGGACCATGATGAGGTGGTGTCGCTGCTTGTGGCGGCGGGGGCCGATTCGGCCGTCCGGTGGGCGCACTCGACGCTGGACGACGAGACGGAGGCTCGCACGGCTCGAGAGTGGGCGTTGCGCTTGAACGGGAAGGGGGCGGTCAAGATAGCAAAGCTGCTTGAGACCCTTGACGACGTGATCGCCGAGGCGACAGTGGTGGGTGTCTTTGATGTGAATGGCGACCTCCTCGTCTGCGAAAGTGACCTCCTCGTGTCCGTCGTGAGCAACAGCGATGAGGCACACACCAGCGACGCCGACGCCTTGCGCGCCGCCCTTGACGCCGGCGAGGCGAGCGAGGAGGATCTGATCGACGAGTTGCGCGACATGATGCGCATCGCACAGGCGTTCCAGGCGGACGAGGTCTGCGACGTGGCTCGAATGGCCCTGGAGGCCTTGTGCAAGGCGGAAGAGGTGGCGCTGCACCCTCCGGAGGACGCGCTGCTGCCTAGGGGGAGCGTGCCCGTGCTCGGCGGGCGCGTGCGGCTGCAAGGGCTCACGAGCGAGGGCGCGCCCAACGGCAAGCTGGGCCGAGTCTTGTCGTACAACAACGATGGCAGGCGGCGTTTCGGCGTGCAGGTGGAAGGGAGGCGGGGCGCTCTCTCTCTCCGCCCACAGAACCTCGTCGCCGTCGACATTGACCCGCTGCCGCTGTGCGAGCACGAGCCGGGCACTTTTGTGGAGCGGCTGCAAGCAGAGCTCAAGGAGGCGGGTCTCCCGTCATACGAGGTGGTGGACTGGACCCGGCTCGCAGAGACAACCGCCGATCCTATGCACTTGATGGAGACTGCTGTGCTCGGACACGCCTTCAGCCGCCACAAGCTCACCCTCTTCTACGTGCAGCGGACGCCGCGCAATGAGGGCTTCTTCGTGGCGGAGCGCGAGTATTACGGGCGTGATCGCGGCGGCAACGCGGCGGCAATGCCGTGGCTGGTCTTCTCGGGCCGGCGGCATGGGAGCCCCGATGGGCCGGTTGGCGGGACTCTCATCCCGCCGCAGGGTCGGCGGTGTTCGACGATCCCCTTCATGCTGCGTCTCGTGCGCACCATCCTCTCTCCCCGGGTCGAGTGCACCGTGTGCCTCGCGCCGCAGGACCTGATGGGCTCCTCCCAGCTGCCGTGCGTGCACTTGTTGTGCTCAGACTGCGCAAAGAAGCTCTACCCCCTCGAAAGGCCGGGGCTCACCTGCCCCACCTGCAAGGAGCACTTTCCTCGGCACGCCCTCATCTCCCTCGAGGGGAGGAACTTCGGGGGCAACACGCTGATGACGAGCGATGTGGCCTTTGCAGAGGTGTGAAGTAGGCTACTTGTACTACGGGCGCTGCCATATTTTCGCTGGTGTAAGACCTAGAGACGAAGAAAAGAGAGTAGTGGGGAGACACCGTGTTTTACGGCTTTACGATGTGTCCCAGCACCCCCACAGAGAGGGGGCGCTCTGTGCATTGGAGTATGCCGCGCAGTGTGCGTGTTCCGCGTAGACGGGCAGGCGCGAGAAGTATTAAGGTGGGTCCGTGCACACGTACACCGTGAGACATGGACAGGTCAGCTGCGCCAGCGAGGCGCTCGCGTATCGCAATGTGTCCCCAAAAAACAGGACTCTCGAGAAAGGAAGTACGAACAGTGCCGCATGCGCACCTGTACAGCGCCACTCGAGCCGCCGCTTCCTCCGCCCCTCGCAGCCCTACCCTGCTCAGCGAAAGGTGAGCAGCCCCGCGTTGCTCCCCTGGCACTGCGGCCGCGATTGGGTATGTGAGAGCAGGCTGTGGAGAGCGCGGAACTGCTTGCCGCACGCTGGGCACGAGTAATTGTCGCCGCCCTCAGTGTAGCCGGACGACCACTCCTGCGAGCCGTCTCCGTCGAAGGTGAGCAGCTTCTGCCCCGTGGTGAAGCGCATGCCCGAGCCCGCCTCCATCTGCCGAGCGTAGCCATAGGCCATGCGCCGCGCGTCGTCGGCGCCGGGACAGTGCGGACAGGAGCCCGACTCGAAGTGCTGGGCGGTGTCCGCCATGCTGCGGTACTTCCGGCCGCACGCGGGACACGGAACTGTCCGCTCAGCGCGCGCGGGCGGCGCCTGCGCCGGTGCGCGTCTCTCGTAGTACCCACCGTACCCGTGGACGCGAGGGTTATCCAGCACCTCGCGCAGCTCGCGGTAATCGTCGATGTCGCGCCGGAACAGCTGCGACTTGCCACGGCGCGGATGGTTGAGGTACGAGCCAACGGTGCCTGTCGTGCACCAGATGTTGAGCTGCATCTGGTCGCCGTTCCCGTCTAGCTTGCGCAGGATGACGAGCTCACCCTGGCTCCACTGATAGTCGTGTTTGTACCAGCCGTAGTACTCGCCCTCGTCGATCACGCGGGTGGGATCGAGGGTCGTCATCGGCGGTGCCCAGGGGGGCCACGCGCGCCCAAGGAACGCGCGGGGGAACGTCCAATGAAATCGATGAAACGTTCTCGGGGTGGCAGAGGGTGGGGCGCTGGGGCGCGCTCGCTTGCGCGCGAGCTTTCCCAGAGCAACAGTGGTCTCTGGGGGCGAGCCTCGGCGAGACTGCGTCTACAGCTGTTCCCACCGCAGGCTGGAAGTACTCGGCGCTTTTGTTTTGAGCTTAGCCTTCGATGTTATGAAACAACGCAAGGCGGACATGGCATATCGCTCTCGGGCCCACAGACATCCCGCACACTCGCCGCACACCCGCCGCCCCCGCGCGCGCCCCACCCCGGCCGGGAGAGAGGGGAGTGACAGTTTGGGACGGCGACAGCCCGAGTATGTTGAGTCCTGGCTCAACAACGCAGGGTTCAAGAGGGGGTGGTCCGGCTCACAAGTCCGGCTCACGCGCCTCGAGCTGACCATCTACCGCACTGAACACTTCCGCCCCCTCGCTCCCAACCTTTTGTTTTTCGTTGAGCGGTGCTTCGACACCGAGATCGTTCAAAGGATCTGTCGGTCGGTGGAGACTTGTTCGCACCGGTATGCTTGCCCTTTTTGTGCTTCTGATAGCTATGCTCTTAGTAGACTGTGGATGTGTTCACAGTCATGTGTGGAGTTTCGGCGTCCGCCAATTAGGCTGAAGAAGGTTTTCCTCTCGCACCCCGTCTGTTTTCCTTTCCTTTTTTCTCTGCAGCACCCTCTCTTTTCCTCTCTATTTTCCCGGGAAAACCATCAAATTTTCCGGGCTCTGAGCCGAGTCTGAGGCTGGTTTGGGCCCAAAATCAGCCAAATCGGCAAAATACCGGGTATTTTGCGGGGAAAACCCCGGTATGCCTCAGTTATTCCAATTCTCTTTCCGCCAGTGCGCGCCAGACCGTGCCCAGTGTTGTCCGAGGCAGTTTTGTTGTAAGACTCTTTCCGCTGGCTCTGTCCGCCGGGACGGATCGCTGCAGGTGCAGGAGGTGTAACACTGACTGACTGCTGGTTGGCGGCCCACCATGTGCATGTGGCGGCCCAACATGCTCTCCCGCCCTTCTCGGCTCTCCACCCTGGCGTGCCGCCCTTTTCGTGAAGCGCGCCGCTCCTGCTGGGTCCGCCGCAGCGAGACCACCTCGTACCTTCGCGACCCACGGCGGGACCGCGAGCTCTACCTGATTGGCACGGCACACGTCTCGCAGCGTTCCGCCGAGGAGGTCCGCGAGCTCATCCATCTCGTTCGTCCTGACCACGTCGCCGTCGAGCTGTGTCCGGCGCGTGCGGCGCGACTGCGGCAGGGCGACCGCGAGGCGGACTTCCTGCGATCTCTCACCGCCGCCGCCGGTGGCCATGGTGGGATCGGCGCATTTTTCGCTGCGCTCAACGGCCTCTGGAAGGCGCTCGGTCTGGTGCCGGGCGTCGACTTCAAGGCGGCGCTGGACGCCGCCGACGCGGTGCAGGCGCCGGCGCACTGCATCGACCGCGACGTGAACGAGACGCTGCGGCTGCTGCGCGGCGCGCTCGGGGAGGTGTCGCTGCCGCGCTTGATGACGACGACGCCGCCGCCCGAGCTCGTGGGCAGCACGCTCGGCGCGGGCGGCCTCGCCGAGGCGGTCGAGGCGCTCAAGGACCGGAGGCAGGTCGCGGCGCTGAGGCGATTCCTCGAGGACGCCGCGCCGCCCGTGGTGGAGGTGATGCTGCACCAGCGCGATCGGCTGATGGCACGCCGGCTGAGGCAGGCCTGTCCGCGGGGCGTGGCAGTGGCGGTGGTAGGCTTGGCGCACATGGACGGCGTCGAGAGGGAGGTGCTGGCGCAAGAGGACCTAGCGGCGCTGCCGGAGAGGTAGCACATATGCTTCCGTACACAGCGTACTCTATCTCTATTTTTTCAGTCTGATTCATTGTTTTGGATTTTGCTCGCTCGGTCATCGCGAACAGGGAATGGCATACCGAATGGCGCAACTCAGCAACACCCAACTGGCAAAAAAGTAAAACGAACCCCCCCCCCCCCCGCCCACACCTGTACTCTCAGAACTCAGACACACTGCAAGTCTGTACATCTACACTCTCTGTGTAGCAATTTCACCGTATAAACGAGGCGTGCATGCTGGCCTCGCCTGTCCCGTACCGTACTGTGGACGTAGCGGTGAGCGCTAGCTATATATTCGCGTCACAAACCGTTCGCGATGTGGGGCGGCTCCGCGCTCAGCTTGGAAACGCCACGGTCACCTCGACGACCGTGCACGTAGCCCCCTCGCCCAGCTTGAGCACCTCCCTCCGCTTCGTCGGCTTGAGGTAGGTGAGCGGCGGGAAGAGCACCTCGCGCTCGCCGGGGAAGGCGGAGAGGAAGGCGATGTCGGCGCCGCGGTCCATGAAGGAGGAGGTGCGCAGCTTGAGCAGCAGGCTCGCCTGGCTCGCAGAGTACTTGAGCGCGACCACGATGTCCGTCGTCGTCGACATGCACGCCAGCTCGGAGCCGCCCCGGCGCTCAAAGTCAGCGGTGACGCACATGTCGCGCATGCCACGGTAGAGGTCGGCCGGCTCGTGCGCGCCGGCGACGCCGGCCCCGACCGCGCGCAGCTTCTTGATGCCGTCCGAGAGCTTAAGGATCGTCACGGGGAACGGGTGCGCCCCCTTGCGCTTCGTGTTGCGCAGCGGCACGTTGAGCGATCGGTACGCGTTGGTCGTGTACATGCGGAGCGCGAGCACGTGGCCCGCGTCGAGGCCGGCGGAGCGGGCGCTTGGATGGTTGACAAAGTCGTCAAAGGTCTCGCTCCTCCGACCTTCGTCCATCTTCCCGTTCGGCCACTCCCGATCCGACATGCCCGCATGCTGGTTCAAGACGTAGTCGAGGCACCACAGGTCGTCCATAGAGCCGTGGCGCAGGAACTCCTCGCGGATCGACTCCACGGGGTCACCCATCAGGCACAAGATCTCCGCTTCGCTCACGCCGAGCAGGTTGTGCAGTCCCAGCGCGGCCTGAACGGGAGCGCCGATGCTCATTTCCTGGATAGCGCCGCCAAACTTGCCGTAGCCCTCTAGCGGCCGGATGTGGCCTGCAGGGGTGGCGATACTCGCTACGGCCGCCTCGAGGGCATCGCGAAGCGAGCACTTGTCGGGCCGGGAGCCGCCAGGACTGGGAAGCGCTATTGCAGACATGCTAGTTTGCAATAAGGAAGGCGGCAATGATAGCCGTCGGCTCGGCCGCCCACTGGATAGGTTGGCAGCATCGTCGCCATCGTTGCCAGTGTCGCCAGACGCTGCTAACCTCTCAAGCCGCTCCAGCCTAGCGTCGTAGCCCTCGGCCGACCTGGCGTCGTAGCCCCCGGCTGGCCTAGCCTCGGCCTGCGCTTGAGAGGTGGGCCGCAAGCTTGAGAGGTGCGCAAAGACCTGGCGGCGACCTCGCTCGAGCCTGGCTCCGTAGCCCTCGGCCGGCCTGGCCTCGGCCTGCGCGCGATCCCAGGCTCGCCAAACCCTTTTGGTGGGTATCCTCTGGAGCATGGCCCGGCGCCTTGGGTTCCTTGGCGACGCGACGTGGTTCTCGGGCGCCACGAGCGACACGCGAGGCTTGCGGTCGACGTCAACATACTGCTTGTAGGCTACAGCTCCGAGGGCCCCAAGAACGAGGAGTGTTGCGATAACGATGCCAGCAATCTCCCCCCCAGCAAGGCCTGGGACTGGAGGCGGCGGTGATGGCGGCAGTAAGGGCGGTGGCGGGCTCGGCGGCGGCGGCGTGGGCAGCGGCGGCGACGGAGGCAGCGGCGAGGGCGGCGGCGGCGACGGAGGCGGCGACGAGGGCAGAGGTGGTGACGGAGGTGGGCTCGGCGGTGGAGGGTTCGGCGGCGTTGAGGGTGGCGATGGCGGAGGCGATGGCGGTGGACGCGGTGGGAAGAGGACTTGGACATTCGATTGCACATCGCAGGTCTCGCAGAGCGCTTGCGTTGCATTCTTGACGGCGTCCTCGACATATGTCATTCTGACTGTGGCGAGAGTGTCCAGCTCTAACGAGCCATCTGCCTCGAAAACCTTGTCGAACTCGTAAAGGATACCGATGAAGACTGGCGAGCCCAAGGGGGCCCTCGGAGGAAATGGGATCAAGGGCCTCAGATCTTTATCAAAGACCGGCACAGGCACTTCCAAGTATCGCTCTTCAGGCCTCTTGACGCACCCCCCTGACTGACAGGCATCGCCGCATGAACCCCACGTGATTTTGAATACCTTCCTGCCGTTCGGTGCGTCAGTATCGTCGTCCTCGACATTGCATGTTCCTCCACCACCGTCCTGTGTGCACCAACTTGAGTAGAATTGCTGGAAGTCAAGTTTTGAATATATCGCGGACGACTCAGATCCCACTTCGAAGCGTGATTGCTGACACACACGTTCATTCGTAATCGTCAGTCGTCGTCGATGCTGCTCGTCATGCAATGCACGCGAACGACGACGGAGTTGCCCGCGGATAGCGTCAATCACTTGTTGCACAGTCGCGTCTCCTAGCTGCGATGCGTTGGTGAAGGAAATGACCGCTGAATCCTTGACAACGATGGCCAGCGGCGACGACGGGGGCGGCGAGGATGGCGGCGGCGGCGGCGGCGGCGGCTGTGAGGGCGGCGGAGGTAACGGCGGCGGAGGAGGGGCTTGAGGCAGACCAGCAGGGACCATGGGGGGGAAGAGCGGCGGCGGCGGCATCGGAGGCGGTGGGGGTGGGGGCGGTGGCGAAGGCGGCGGGGATGGAGGTGACACCGGGGGCGGTGGCATCGGGGGCGGCAACGAGGGTGGCGAGGGCGGCGACGGCAGCAGGGTGTAGGGCACGTCGGGAAGGACGCTGGTCTGATTGGCGCCATCCTTGCCCCAGCACTCTGCGTGCCCCGTGTCTGCCCTCAAAGCGCACGTGTGGAGACCGCCCGCAGAGATCTGCGCGTAGGACACGTTTGACGGCGCGGAGCTCTGGCGCTCGATGTTGCGACCCCAGCACTCAGCCAGCGCCGTGTCTGCCCTGATGGCACAGGTGTGATTCCCGCCGGCAGAGACCTGAATGAAGGCTACGCCAGGCAACGGGGTGCTCTGGTTGTCAGTGTTGCTACCCCAGCACTCGACGCCATTGTCCTCCCGCAAAGCGCATGTGTGGAGCCCACCTGCAGAGATCTGCGCATAGGACACGTTTGCCGGCGCGGTGGCCTGGCCTTCAACGTTCCGACCCCAGCACTCTGCATGGCCGGTGTCTTCCCGCAGAGCGCAAGTGTGATACGTGCCTGCAGATACTTGCGTGTAGGTCACGCCACCGAGCCGTCGGCGACCGCCA